AGGCCCGAGGCCAGGCTCCACAGCCGACCCCCGGCTCAGGTCGGGTCTGACGGCTGCTGGGCGGGTCGGTGGGGACAAGGCAGGGCCAAGGCCACACCAGGAAGGGGTCTGCCTGTGAGGGGCTGGGCCCAGAGGGTCTGTGGGACAGGGGCTGAACTCCTATGGCAGAGCTCACCGAGGGGCTGAGGGCCCAGAGCCGAGCTTAAATGGGCTCTGGGGCCCCTGGGCAGGGCTGTGGGGGCCCAGGTGGGGCTGGCAGGGCCGTCAGGGCAATTAGTACCCAGAGGGCCCTGACAGAATGCTTTAAAAAGGTGCTTCCTTTTTAACTGAGGTACAAGAACTCAATATATACGCTCATCATATAGACTGGTTACTTAAAAAAAACACCAAAACCCCACCAAACCCCCAACACCATGAGAGACCAAAAAATTATTATAAAAAAGGTCTTTTACCTTTAAGACTTCACTTCTCCTTTCGTAGAACTGTACCGCAACACCTGAGCTGCATCAGATTCTCCTGGGCACTATGGATTGTCCAAAGGAGCTGTACTTTGGGCTGGAGTCCTCTTCTCCTGCTCTAAAGGAGCTGTGTCACCTCATGGGTGGAGGTGTCTCCAGACTTTTGTACTTACTTCTGACTTCTGGTTTCTTAAGTGAAATCTCCATTCCAGGAAATATCTTCTCCTGGCCCCTGCCGTGATGTCAGGGGATTAGTAAACAGAAAGAAGAGTGGAGTCACCCAGCGGAGTGCCTCTCAGTCTGGTGCTTCATGACTTTGTGCAAATAACAGGCAGAAGGAACCAGGTCATTGTCAATTGGACTTTGTACCAATATGTCCTTCTTGCCTGGTGCAGCTTTCCTTGGTGGCTATATTAATTGTTAATTAACTAGAGAGAGAGGAATGTTTGAACACGTTAAAAAACATTCTGAAATACACTGACAAGTTTCCAATGTTTCTGTGGAAACGGAAAGTTCACTGAGCATTTCTGTTTATTCTGCCTCATGAAAGGTAAGAGAGAAACAATCAAGAGACAGGTAAGAAGGGAGACTAAAGGGTTCACTTAACACACAAAGCAATCACTTGGCCCATTTACCTTAGAGCAGAGGCAAAGAAATTAACTCATGAGAAAGATTTACATAATAATAACTTGGAAGAGAAAAATTTAAAAACCATGAAC